ACATTTTTGTAAAATAAATTACTAATTCTATCAAGAAAATTAAATTTTGGTATTAAATAACCCATAAGAAGTTGATATGCAGCTAAACAAACAAAGACAGACTACGCTACAAAGATGGAGAAATTTTCCTGATGATGTTCCACTTTACACAACATCAAATGCAACAAAAATGTTTTTTTCATGGTTGAAGATGTTTAACATTTGGAATTATTGTGGCGGGAACTGAAGGAATAAGTGCTCCAATAAAAAAGATCTTTGTAATTACTACCACGAAGAATGGAAAAAAAAATCTTAGTTTGAAAATCTGAATCTTGTGCCATTCAAAACAAGATCAGACTGAGGAAATTATTTGAGCCAAAGCCAGCAACATTAATTGCTAACTCCATATATTAACGTTTTGTAATTTCTGCAATAATAAAGATCATTTTTGCTAAAAAAATTATCTTTTTAACATAAGAAAAAAGGTGAAATTTTCACTGGTGACCCAGCATTTTAGCATTGCCACTTTTCAGCATCACCAGGCTTAAGATATTCTATCAACCAGCATATAACATTAACAGAAACACAGTAACTTATTTTCTTATCCTCAAAGATCATAAAATGTTCTGTGAAAAGCATACAGCTAATTACTATTGATTTGGGAGTAAAATTAACAGAAGTAATTAATTTACCAAGGTGATCCAAAAGTTCTGAATGCTAGTGTATGTTTAGCAATATATAAATTTTTATATATCAAGAACAATTTGGGAGGAAAGATGATTTCGTGTGACACGTTTAATTCTTTAGGATGTCATCAGACTAGGTTTGTTTACCTTGATGTGACTACACATGCTCATTAATGAGAGATGATGGGAATCTTAAATTTAAAGGAGTCATTTTTTTTATATGTGCTTAGGGTATATAATTTAGTCATTTACATATCTATGAATTTCCTGATCTGCCAGTAAAACAGCAGCAGTAGAAATGCTCGGATTTTATTTATTACATTTTAGTAAACGCTTTGCACACACACACACACACACACACACACACACACACACACACACACACACACACACACACTCCAACAGAAAGATTTTATAAAATTCAACCAATAATAATGCTAACTATTTGGTCAATTAATACTGAAACTCTCCATATGAGGGAGTGGCTAATATCACCATAAATATATATATATATATATATATATATATATATATATATATATATATATATATATATATATATATATATATATATATAGCGAAAAAATAATTTTAAGACCAATGGTTAAAGTTTTATTCATTTCAGAATATGTTTCTAATAAAACAATATAAATTAGTTTTATAGTGTACACGCTTTATGCAGAATATATTTCTCTTTCGAATGATGTAAAAATTGTATATTTTTCTACAATTTGAAAGGTTTTAATAGGCTGACTATGAAGGATTGATGCTAGAGCTGTGAAATCTTGCATATATTAATCTTAACTCTTCTCATTAGTAACTGCATTGTTTCTTTCCAGGTAAGCGGGTGGGATGAAAAGTTCATAGGATGACTATGAAAGAGTGATACTAGAGCGTTGACATCTAGTCTGAATTCATTTCAACTCTTCTTATTAATAATTACATTGTTTCTTTCCAGGTAAAATGATATATTTTAATTTTAGATTGTAAAAAGATTTCGGAAATAATCAAGATTTACTGATACAAGCATATATATATATATATATATATATATATATATATATAGTGGTCAACATATATATATATTTCCAAGAGAATAAACTCCAGGTAGAGATTTATGTACAAGACAGAGCAACCTATTCGTTATCTAACAGAGTTCATATCTATCTATCTATCTATCTATCTATCTATCTATCTATTTATCACAGGTAGTTCATATTTATCTATCTAGCTATATGTTTCATTCAGGCTATTCATATCTATCTATTTATTTATTATTCTCATTCATTCAGTTCATATCTATCTATCTATCTATCTATCTATCTATCTACACTGGCAAAAGTTTAAGACCAATGGTTAAAGTTTAATTCATTTCAGAATATGTTTCTAATAAAACAATATAAATTAGTTTTATAGTGTACACGCTTTATGCAGAATTTATTTCTCTTTCGAATGATGTAAAAAAATTTATTTTCCTACAACTTGAAAAATTTTAATGCTGGATTAATTTAAATTATACAAATTTGCCAGCAAAATAAGTTTCAGACTGTATGGGTATTATGCAAATTATTTGCTAAATGGTTGGTCACATGGCTGGTCATTAATGCAATATATAGTGTAATAACTGAGCATTGTTATATAATTACTTCGCTATAGGAAAGCGTTGTAGTCTTAGCCCAGTGACTAGATCAAAAATATTGTTATTTCATCAACAAAACGTTTCCTTTATAAACATAAGCAAACAATTAAAATGCAGTAAAATGGCTTGTGTTCTGGCTTGAAAGCTTTAACAGGATACTGGACAATATAAGGATAGGCAAAGATCAGTAGCACCAAGAAAAACAACAGTGCAACTGGATAGACAAATTCATCGGCTTTCCCAAGCTAACTGAATGCTGACAGCCATGGACATGTGCAGCCAATTATCTGGTAAAACTGGCATTAGTTTTATGCCACAAACTGTCCAAAATTATCTAAGTGAATTTAGATTATTTGGGCGCATTTCTAGAAAAAAGGCAATTATTTCAGAGAGGAATCGACTCAAGCAGATGAATTTCACAAAAAATCACATTCAATGGATGGCTGATGACTGGTGTAGAGTAACAAGTCACCCTTTTGCATCTTTGGATCAGATGGAAAAACCTTTGTGAGATGCCATCCAACCAAGGAATTCCATCATTAATCAGAGGCGGGGGTGTAATGGTGTGGGCTGTGTTCGGTAGCTTTGGTATTAGTCCAATTGTTAAAGATGATGAAAAACTCAACAGTGCAGGCTATATGCAGCTAGTTAAGGAACATGTTCTGCCATATTTGACTGACCAAATGCCACCTGAAGCTATTTATCAACAAGATAATAGCCCCATTTACAAAGCCAAAGAAGTAATGCAATTTTTGATCACAATAATATGGATGTCATTGAGTGGCCTCCACAGAGTCCAGATCTTAATCTGATTGTAAATTTATGGAATTATATTTCTAAAAGAGTTCACGCTAAAAAATCTGACAAATTTAGCCCAATTATACGATTATATTAAGCAAATATGGTAGAATATTCCAAATGATTTTTGTGTTCACATATCAAGCTCAATGCATAGGTAATGTGAAGCTGTAATTGATAAGAAAGGTTACGGTACAAAATATTGATAAATATTTTTTTTGCTCATTTTTACTATAAATTTTTATCTTTAAATATAATAATACCCATGCAGTCTGAAACTTATTTTGCTGGCAAATATGGATAATTTAAATTAATCCAGCATTAAAATTTTTCAAGTAAAAAGTATACAATGTTTATATCATTCGAAAGAGAAATAAATTCTGTATAAAGCGTGTACACTATAAAACTAATTTATATTGTTTTATTAGAAACATATTCTGAAATGAATAAAACTTTAACCATCGGTCTTAAACTTATTTTCACCAGTGTAGATAGATAAACAGACAGACAGACAGACAGATAGATAGATAGATAGATAGATAGATAGATAGATGGATAGATAGATAGGAACTGAGTGAATGAGAGTAATAAATAAATAGATATGAATAGCCTGAATGAAACATATAGCTAGATAGATAAATATGAACTACCTGTGATAGATAGATATATATATATAGATATATATATATATATATATAGATAGATAGATATGAACTCTGTTATAAAATGAATAGGTTGAAATAGATATGAATAGACTGAATGAGATAGATAAATAGATTGATAAATATGAACTGTGATAGATAAATAATGAATAGGTGGAGATAGATAGATAGATAGATAGATAGATATGAACTGAGTGAATGAGAGTAATAAATAAATAGATATGAATAGCCTGAATGAAACATATAGCTAGATAGATAAATATGAACTACTTGTGATAGATAGATAGATAGATATGAACTCTGTTAGATAATGAATAGGTTGCTCTGTCTTGTACATAAATCTCTACCTGGAGTTTATTCTCTTGGAAATATATATATATATATATATATATATATATATATATATGTGTGTGTGTGTGTGTGTGTGTGTGTGTGTGTGTGTGTGTGTGTGTGTGTTGACCACTAATATATATATATATATATATATATATATATATATATATATATATATATTATTATGAACCCCCATCTCCTTCCTTCCTTTCTCCAACCTCATTGACAGGGAAGGTAGAGGAGGGTCGTAATCTGTGTTATTTTAATTTTTTAACATTTTATATTTGTTTTTTGTAAAATATATTTCTTTCCCAAGGGTCTCTTTTCAATTGATCAGACACGGCCGAGCGGAATCAATTAAGGAACAAACATGATAGGCGACAAACAACAATGGAGACAGGAAATATAAATTTATTAACAAACATGGAATTGTGGAAAAGATAAAAATAAAAAAAAACGGCCAAAACAAAAATGACAATATGTCAAGACTAAACATTTAAACATTGAGGACAAAATATTGGGAGGAGAACATCCTCTAAGAAAGGTAAATATAAAAATCAGCCTATGGCCTTGTGCCATACTGCCACGAATTTATAGAACATGTGCATTACCTGCACGGATTCACAAAGCATCAACATTTTAAGACAATGTGGAAAGAAACATATAATAAAAAGATTTCATTCTAAATTTGCATGAAAGTACAAATACGAAAAAGAGGTACATTTAAACAAAATGGCGTACAAGAAAAATCATAATCTTAACTCAGAATAATAAAGTCCTTTTTCCCTAACAATGTCTCTTAGTCTTATCTTTTTCTTTTTCCTTTTCTATTCCTTTTTATCAGGGTCTCTTTTCAAGGTATTTTCTTACATATTCTTTTCAATAACTCTAGGGGCTTGGCTGATGATGAAGCAGAAAATACGTTCTCTCTCTCCTTCGTCTTGGTATGACAGCATTCTTGCTCGAGATGATCTATTCTTTCTTTCTTTCTTTCTTTCTTTCTTTCTTTCTTTTCCCTTTCGTCCTTCGTTTAGGGGCTTGATGCCGGTTGAAACTGCTTTCTTTCTCCTCGATATATTGGTGTTCCGCGTACGTCGTCAAGCGGGTCCATCTATCCAACTCGGAGACCAATTCTCCTTGCACTTTTTGCGAACACATCTTCTCAGTCTGTAGACCTGGACAAATTTCATGGACACGTACCTTTTCAGTCTTTAGACCTGGATACGACTCTTGTATTTCCGCAAATACATCTTTTCAGCCTACAGACCTGGACAAATTTTATGGACACATGCTATAGACCCGTAGGCCTGCACGAATACTAAGACATTTGCTAAACGTCCGGCCAGCCCGCAGGCCTGGCGAAGACTAACTTTTTCGTTTCCGTTTTCTTCTTGTCACGTGGTCAATTTTCAAAATACTAACTTTTTCCCATTATGGATGGAATGGGGTCATCGACTCCCTCTCTTATCTTCAGGGTCAGAGAAAGTTTAGTTTAAAACGTTTCAAACTTTCCCAGCTGGAACCTATCCACGTAGATCATGTTGTCAACACCTTGACCAAAAGAGGATAGGGTACACTCTGGTTAATCCTTGTCGCCACTAAGTCCACCTATCTCTTTGGGTTTACTATCTTTACATTTTCTGCAAGTACTGGGCTCTTTGTTTTAGAATGCTTCTAAAATATAAGCAATGGTATATTTTTTTATAATAAATCTAGATCAGGGTTTGTAACAATGTACATATATATATATATATATATATATATGCTTGTATCAGTAAATCTTGATTATTTCTGAAATCTTCTTACAATCAAAAATTAAAATATGTCATTTTACCTGGAAAGAAACAATGTGATTATTAATAAGAAGAGTTGAAATGAATTCAGGCAAGGTGTCAACGCTTTAGTATCACTCTTTCATCGTCATCCTTTTAACTTTTCATCCCACCCGCTTACCTGGAAAGAAACAATGCAGTTACTAATGAGAAGAGTTAAAATTAATATATGCAAGATTTCACAGCACTAGCATCAATCCTTTATAGTCAGCCTATTAAAACCTTTCAAATTGTAGAAAAATATACAATTTTTACATCATTCGAAAGAGAAATAAATTCTGTATAAAGCGTGTACACTATAAAACTAATATTGTTTTATTAGAAACATATTCTTTAATGAATAAAACTTTAACCATCAGTCTTAAACTTATTTTCGCTAGTGTATATATATATATATACAAAGAAATAGAGAGTGAGGGGGAGTGATATAGATTGTATTGACATAGGGACTAACAATACGTTTTGACTATCAGATGATCTTCCTGTTTCTATTACTTCTCTTAGATCTACCATTATATTCCAAAAACTGAATTTTGAAGGACATACCCATTATTCCTACAAACTTTATTATACACAGTTTTATGTTTCTCTAAAACCTCTTTGTTAGAAGAATTTTGGGTAATACAACATTCTACAGAGAAAGGAATATGTCGGATTACAGATGGTGGGTGACTATTACAGGGATACCACTGGGGTCACATGCTTTGTGGTGATCTAGGCTAGAGATGATAGCAGAAGTCATGAATGACATATGCATATCATTCAACAGAGACTCAGTTCTAGGAGGGAGGTTAAGCAGGGATATTCCTGACGAGTCAAGAGAAGAATTTACAGGCAAAGCATTCAGCTTTATCAGTAGAGGATTATTTAGTGACATAGTAAGTTCAATGCTGGGCAGTTTCTTTAAGCTTAGTGGAAGCAAGGCAAGCAATAACTGATCAGTACTAGAAATAAGAACTAGACAAGATATCCCTAAACATGGGCAGTTGAACAAGAAAAATATATCTCTATAGATTAAATAAAGGCCTTGCAATGTGAGATGTGGAATCAATTGAACATTTATCAAGGCGTTTCTCAAAAATAGATAAAAGGCTAATAGGCCAATACTTGAAATGGTCAGACGGTTTACTAGAGTTCTTAAAAACTGGAACAACAGATGAGATATTCCAGCAGGCAGGAATGTGGAAGTGAGTAAACCAATTAAATATAGTATTAGAAAGAAATTTGCATTAAGAAAATTCATTAATTACTTTAAATATTTCTTTGTTTATGCTTTGGGTACCAAAATAAAGAGATAGATTTCAAAAGGTTCAAACAAATGATGCACATTTCTTTAAAAAAATGCTTTGCTTTGTTCTGAGGTCTCTCATGGCTGAGTGGTTAACCATTCCTAGCTAATGGTCATTTCCCAGGATAATGGGAAAATGGGTTTGGTTTTCAGTTACACATCTAATCTTAACTCTGAACGTGTCAAAGTTTGCATAGATTTTCGGCATCCTACTTCTTATGCCATTTTGTACTGCCTACTTTTCCTACAACTTAAAAATGCAATCTCTTCCCAGGATGCTTACCATATACTTTTTTTTTATTTTTTTTACTAGGGTTTAGTTTTCACTGGCACTTTTAAAAAGCTTCATACAGAACTTTATAATAATCCTTTGCTTCAGATTCCTTTCCCACATTTATGACCAAAAGTATAAAATTAACACATATAGCTTCCTCTATTGTTTGGCAACAAATGACTCATCTGTCTGTCTCTCAAGAAAGAACCATATTTATGCATGAGGAGGCACAGTGGAGGAATGGATAGCAGCTCAGATTGAGGAATTCGAGAGCTGAGTTTGAATTCCAGTTGGCTCTATTACATTCCCTTACATTCTAGAAATAAGAACAATATATCTCTATAGATTAAATAAAGGGTTTAGTTTGAAATTCCTTGTAGGTTACCTGGATTGACATACATGTAATGAAAGATGGAGGCCATAGTGGCTGAAATGTTGTGGACAATAGTCTGCATGTAAATAGTATAGACAGAAAAATGGATAGGAAGTTGTGGAGAGCCATTATTTATCACGTCCTGGTACAAAGAAAAAGAAGAGGATATACAGAATCATTCCAAGAAAAAAAGAGAGTTCTAACCCAGATGCTGTCTTGATAATAAAAAAGTCTTTGTTTAACGAGAAACTTTCTATTTAAAATTGATCAAAGCGTCTTTTGATTATCTGAGTTCAAAATGACAGCGGATCATGTAAAGAAAGGAATGGTTGTCTTCTGAACTAGTTTTTGCCTTTTCTGAAGTGGAATCGATCTCTCCTTGCAGACTCGCATGATTTAAGATTTCCTTGTTAATGTGTTTCTGCTCAATGACATTCAGTGTTTATGGTCGACCGATGGTCACAGGAGAATGGCCTTTGGGAAATGTCAGTGTTCGGCACTTCATGGACTGGTCTTTGACACAAGGACTTCCTGGTCCAATTCTTGAAGATGAATCAAGAGAGACAGGCAAGAAGAGTGGAATGGAGAGTGAGTGGGAATAAAAAGAAAGGAAAAGAGAGACAAGTAGAGTAGAGAGTAAATAGTGAAAGTGAGAGAAGAGGCAGAAGATGAAAGAGGAGAAACACTCAAAAGATAAAGAGAGAAAGAGTAGCAAAAAAAGGCCAAAAATAATTTTAAAAAGGGTTATCTAATACCAAATTTTGAATGGGACACCTGGTGAGGATCAATCTCAGCAACTAAGTTTGATAATGATTATGCCATGTTCCTGGTGACAAAGAAAGAAAGAAAGAAAGAAAGAAAGAAAAATGGTAGATATAAAGAGAGAAATAGAAGATGAATAATTTAGTTGAAAGACATTTTATGAGCAACGGAAAAAAAGGATAAATGAAAAGAGTGAGAAAAAGACAAGTAAACAGAGAAAGAAAAAAGAAAAAAAAAGAAAGAAAAAAGAAAGAAAAAAGAAAGAAAAGAAAGAAAAAAGAAATAAAAAAGAAAGAAAAAAGAAAAAAGAAAGAAAAAAAAAAAAAGAAAAAAAAGAAAAAAGAAAAAAAAAAAAAAAAGAAAGAAAAAAGAAAGAAAAAAGAAAAAAGAAAAAAGAAAGAAAAAAGATCAGAAAAAAGGGTTAAAAATAGTTTTAGAAAGAATTATTTCATTTTGAATTTTGAATAGAATACCTGGTGAGGATCATTTTCACTATTCAGTTAGGCTTGCTAATGATTACTCCATGAATGAAGACAAATTAGAAAAACAGAAAAATTAATGATGAGTAGATTGCTGAAAATATTTCTGGAGCTCCTGCTACATATTTAGAGATTATTAATAAAATCTAAAAAACAATCAGCAATGTTATTAGTTCTGACCTGGCATCTTGGCTTCAGTCACTTTCCCTTTACTGTAACGTGCCTTACTTGTGACTTTTCTTTAAGTATTTTCATGGTAATTGTTCTGATGAACTTTCCTTCGATGTTACCTAGATTTCATAAATTTAAGCACGGTACTAGCAACTGATCAGTAACCTTGATATATTCGGGAGGGATATAAGAATAATCAAGAAGCTATACTGGCAACAAACAGCATGCATAGGGAACAAGTTCAATCAATATACAAAAATAGAAAGGAGCATAAGGCAAGGATGCATTTTTTCACCTGACCTGTTCAGTGAGGCAATTCTGAGAGAATTGGAAACCTTACTGGGATTTACCATTTGAGGTTATAATCTTACCAACATAAGATGTACAAATGACACATTACTGATAGCAGGCATGGAAAAGAAATTACAAAATCTCCTACAGAAGGTAGTGACAGAGAGTGAGAAGAAAGGACAAAGCATAAACTACAAGAAAACAGAATGCATGGTCATCAGTAAGAGGAAGAGCTCGAAATGCAATTTGAAGGTCAAGAACACTAGAATCAAGCAGATGCAGAAATTTAAATATCTGGGAAGCATCTTGACAGAGTATGGTAAGTGTGACACTGAGATCTGTAGATATATTGGGATGGCCAAGGACACATTCCAAAAGCTGGGCAGAGTACTGCAAGACAGGAGGATATCTTTGGTAACAAAGTAAAGAATACTGTTATGTTACATCTGTTCTTTACAGCAGCGAATATTAGACGATTTCCTCAAAGATGAAGAAGAGACTCGAGGTGACAGAGATGTGGTTCTACAGAAGGATTCTAAGGATATCATGGACTAAGTGTGTGAGCAATGATGAGGTCTTAAAGAGGATGCAAACAAGGAAGAGGCTTATACTTAGCATCGAAAAGAGGCAGCTGAAATTTCTGGGACAAATAATAAGGAAGGAGGGCCTGGAGAATCTGATACTCACGGGTCAAATAGAGGGAAAGAGAGACAAGGGAAAACAGTGTGTGACATACCTGGCAGGCATGAGCAGGTGGTGACAGAACATGGTCTGGGGGAGGAAGCAGAGGAAATGAACTTGCTGAGAGCTTCAAGGGATAGGGGGAGATGGAGAACCATGATCACCTACGTCCTGCTATTAGAAACTGTACCTCGCCACTTTATTGTTGAACTAGCTAGATGCTACCACCTCTTTTACTCTATTTCTTTTCTTGAACTTCCCACCTGAGGAACTCCCTTCTGATTTCTTGCTTCCCTGATAACTACAAACTTCAAAAATTTAAATGCAATGTTAATCATCATCTTTTGTCTTCTTGCCCCCTGTTCCTTTTTTATCCTTTCCTTTCCTCTGTCCTCTGCATTGTCAGTCTTCTCATTCTCTTTCACTTACACACATTGAGTTCTAGTGATTATGACCACCAATATCATGAAAAGATACAACACATAGAAGAAGTTGGAATAAGACATAATAGACTTAAAATGTTTTAATTCTTTAGACAAGTTTTATCTATTCATTTTTAATAGGATCTAATTATGGACAAGTTTCTTATTATCAAAGGAAGAAAGAAAATTACTATGTTGATGCATATTCATTTTATTCCAAGTACTTTTGACATTAGCACAATGTCATCATCAGGGTCATATATATACAGTGCTGCACAAAAGTAAGTAAACCCCTAACATAATATTTTTAAAATCTGTCACTTTTTTCCAGATAATCAACAAATCGTAATTAAACTATACAGTCATTAAGAAAAACCTTTATTAAATGAATTAGAACCAATTTAAAAAATCTTATCTCCTATCTTCTTGAATTTCGTTGATCTTTTGTCCTTTCCTCAATCCTCCCTATACCAAGTTTTTCTCTTACTTTCTGTTATGGTAATTTACCCATGCACACATGGACTCTCCCAGCTATAAATAGGAGCAGGTACTGCCTTTTGGAGAGGGAAGTTTCCAGCAGTCAGTTCTGATAGTCTAACCGAACATTCTTGCTGTCACATTTGTATATGTTTGCATTACCATTTCTGTTAATATATTTAACTCAATTCCTCTATTGTGTCTTTAATTTTGGCCCTAACAAGGCCACAACACTATCTATCTATCTATCTATCTATCTACGCATATATAGGATTTTTCATTTTGGTCATTCATCTATCTATCTATCTATCTATCTATCTATCTATCTATTATGGTAATTTACTCATGCACACATGGACTCTACCAGCAATAAATAGGAGCAGGTACTGCCTTTTGGAGAGGGAAGTTTCCAGCAGTCAGTTCTGAAAATCTAACTGAACATTCTTGCTGTCACATTTGTATATGTTTGCATTACCGTTTCTGTTAATATATTTAACTCAATTACTCTATTGTGTAATTTTTGCCCTAACAAGACCACAACACTATCTATCTATCTATCTATCTATCTTGGTCTGTTAATCTATCTATCTATCTATCTATCTATCTATCTATCTATCTATCTACGCATATATAGGATTTTTCATTTTGGTCATTCATCTATCTATCTATCTATCTATCTATCTATCTATCTATCTATCTATCTATCTATTATGGTAATTTACCCATGCACACATGGACTCTCCCAGCAATAAATAGGAGCAGGTACTGCCTTTTGGAGAGGGAAGTTTCCAGCAGTCAGTTCTGACAGTCTAACCGAACATTCTTGCTGTCACATTTGTATATGTTTGCATTACTGTTTCTGTTAATATATTTGTTTAACTCCTCTTCTGTGTCTTTATTTCTGGCCCTAACAAGGCCACAAAACTTCCACTCACTGTAACACTGCATACTAGTGGCATTTCTGCTTTGCTGGATTGAAATGGGTAAAAAAAAATATATGAAGAATACTAGACCAGATATGATGCCAATGTTCAATGCATGGATGAATAGTAGTTTTATAAACATGCAAGACGGCTTCTGGCAAGAAAGAATGTCTAGGATGACACAAGGAACCAACTTTCTTATCAGTAGACCTAGCAGTTGATTCAATATAATTACTCCACTTACTGTCAGAAGAAGACCAAGAAGGTGCAATGAATTGCTCTCCTGGAGATTAGCATCAGCCATGCTGAGGAGATGCAGGAAAGATTTTCTCTAGTGATTAAATGAAAGTAGTTTTTTTTTTTTTGGGGAGGCGTTAAAATTTAAAAGCCATTCCTTGCCCTTCTTAACCACTAACGGGAGTTCCTTTTTGAGAGCAGCTATCAGTTTTAATTCAAATTCATTGGCATGGACAATTTTAATTGATCTTCATAAATATTCATAAAGATGAAGGTTCATACTTCAAATGTTAATGATAAATAGTTGAGGCCTAAATTGTTAAATAGATATGCAGTTCCCAATTCTACCTTTTCTTTCTGATACCTTTAGAATTTTGTGACCTTTTGGGTATCTTCTAGAATTGGCTACTCAATAATAGACCATTTACAAACAGTAGAACAACTGATAAAAAAAAACAATATAAAATATCTTGGTCCATGCTAAGAAAAGACGTTTTATTCTGTAGAATACTCAACAATTTTTAACTTGAGACAAGAGTAATATATGAGTAAAAATTATATAAAAGTTATTGAGAAAATTGCTTAATGGACTGAAAGAATTCATCTCATGCGTGATATTGAAATTAGTAAAATTGCTTAAAAAACAGAATTGCACAAAGATCAAAAACCACTTCATATATTTTATTTGAATGGAGAAGTGTGCGCGTTATATTTTATTTTGCCACAGGTATGTATTTTAGATGTGATTACTCAACAATACACCATCTACATCTAAAAGGCATCTGATTCAGTTGAATACATGGCAGTCTTTAACTGCCGACAAAAGCAAGAGTAAAAATTGTATTGTTGAGAATATTGCAAAAAAGAGAGATAAAATAAAAATTTGGAAAAGGAGTATAAAACTGTCTTTTAAACTATTTACAACATTTATACTAAAAATGTGAAGCATATAATAACTATAAAGCAATAGATGCCTGATACTGAAATTAGTAAAAGAATTAAAAAGTTTAGAATTGCACAAATATCAAATATTGCTCTCTATATTTGACTTGTATAGAGAGGAATGTGTGTTAGATTTTATTTTGTGAAGAATAGGATATAAAATATATGTATCTGTCTATATTTCTGAGATGAGATATTTACATTATTCAGTCTATTGTCCTCATCTTTCAGCTGTTATACACTCCAGCCTTCTTAAGGTGGTTGGAATGTCGAGCTGAACCCTTTATTTCGCTCGCTGGGGTAGACTGTTCTAGTTCCACATGCCATGTCTAATGGATGTCAGTTATCAGTTATCTCCTGTCAATTCCCCTCTCAAAGTTCTCCGAAGTTATGAATTTCTGGGTATTATAAACCGAATGTCTTCAGCAATCATTTTTTTTACCAGTGCTCATATTGCAATTTTTGCTGTTATCATTGCATATTATACACAGATGTCCTTAAGGACATGTGGCACAGTGGATAAAGATGTTAGATCCAGTGACAGGACCCAAAGAATGTGAGTTCAATACCTGGTTAAGGAAATTGGAGAGGGGAATTAACATGTTAATGGAATGTGAGTTCAATACCTGGTGGGGAAATTGGAGAGGGGAATTAACAGGAGATAACTGACAACTGACATCCATTAAACATGTCACATAGAACTAGAACAGTTTACCCCAGTGAGCGAAATAAAGGGTTCAGTTTGACATTCCAACCATCTGAAGAAGGCTGGAGTGTACAATGGCCGAAACATTGTAATAAATATGGCGACAAAGATGAGGACAATAGTCTGAATAATGTAAATAGTGAAAATATATGTATATCTGAATAATAGGAGCACTTTATTGTAGTGTGATGATTAACAAGCTTGTCTTGCAAAATCAATCACTAATGAGTGTTGACTTCAATCCTCACTGAGTGCCTCATATTTTTAGCATTGTACCACATCAAAGCTACACTTAGAAAATCGCCATATCTTGGGCACTTTGACATGGTCTAATAGTTAGCGAATCTTATCTGGCTAGATCAGTTATGATTGAGTAGTGAATTCGATCCCTACTGGGTGCCACATACTTTTGGCATCATATCACATCTAAGCTATGCTTAGAAAATCATTTGGGCACTCCGATGTAGTATAATGGCTAGCAAACTTGTCTTGCAAGATTAATTATGACTGATTAGTGAGATCAGTCCTCACTGGGTGCTCCATAACTTTGGCCTTGTGTCACATCTAACCTAACCTAAGAAAATCATTTGGGCATTTCAACATGGTGTAATGGCTAGCAAGCTTGTCTTGATAGATCAATTATGACTGTCTGGTAAGTTTGATCTTTACTTGGTGCTTCATACTTTGGCCTTGCGTTACATCTAACCTATCCTGAAAAAATAATTTGGACACTTTGATGTGGTGTAATGGTCAGTCAGCTTGACTTGCTAAATCAATTGCAACTGACAAGTGAGTTTGATCCCCACCAGGCGCTCCATACTTTTAGCCTTGTGTCACATCTAAGATATGCTTATAAAATCATTTGAGCACTTTGACGTGGTGTAATGGTTAGCAAGCCTTTCTTGCTAGATCACTCACAACTTAGTAGTGATTTTGATCCTCAGTGGGTGCTCTATACTGTTGGCCTTGTGCCACATCTAAGCTATGCTTAATAAATCACTATATCTGTATAATAGTATGAATAGCAGACTGACATAACAGAAAAGTGGGTGGTAAGATATTTTTTTCCAAAGACCTTTCACTGAAGACATTCCATCTGCAAGAATAACATCAAGACACAATTTTTGATCTTGTCATTTTATTTTATGCATTGTTTATTTCTTATTTATTTCAGATTGAGGAATCGGAGAGCCGAGTTGGAATTCCAGTCAAATCCATTACATTCACTTACATGCTAATACCTTGGAAAAGGTATGAATCCTCTGCTTCTCCCCCACCATATATGGGTAAAAAGCAGGACAGACCAGATTCTATAGTCTTGGATGGCAACTGGTCTACCGCAGAAATAAATGGCAACCTGCTGTGGGAAAAAAACTACCCTGTCAGTCATATATTGAAAATTACTTGATCGCCTAAGCAAGTATCATGCATGGCACATAATTGAACTGAATGTTTATTTAGTCAATGTGTTTTTATGTTGGAAAAATAGTACAGAGAATCTTTAAGGAAAATTCTTTTTTCATTAAAAAACAGAAGATTCAGAGTATTTTAAAGTGACACCTGTTATTTTCTTTTTTTACAACGATGTTCACCCTCAGGATAGAGAGTTACAGAGTAAGAGGCAAAGTTTATAGGGATATGTGCATAAGATATTGGTTAACTCTAGAATTCAACAATTGGACTGTCATAATCAGGGAAGCATTTTCTTGGGATTTGGTTGCATAGAAAGACTGTCTAACCTTCTTTACACAATTATTGAAACATGGACTTATCCATCTGCTTTTAGTGGAATGTCTACAAATGGATTAGTGGCAAAATTCACTTTGCTTCTTATATATATTTATATATATATATATATATATATATATATATATATATATATATATAAAAGGAAGAGGTTATAGTAGTTCCAATGAGAGAAAAGTGTGCATATTAAAAAGAAGAGAAGTACCGCAAACGTTTTTGGTTGTAATGTGGATTTTTTAAAAAAAAATATTATACTTTATTTTCCATAATTTTACTGCACGTGTTTCTGGTTTTGTGACCGTCTTCAGGTAAAAGGCAGAGATTTTCACATATTAAAAATAATTAATTTTTTTCCTTATGTTTTTCAATGTTAAATATTCTCGATATGAGACATTCTCTGTTTTTGTGTTAGTAATCCGAATGTCTTTCTTGAACTGGCAGTGAAGAGTTCTGCGCGAAGGGTCATAAAACAATTAAGGTTGGTCCAAGAGAAATGATGAATTACTTATCGGCATTTTATCTTTTAATGTTTTAATGACCCCTGTGTATTCTTAGATCTATTTCCATTTTCATGTGTTTCTGTCAGCTTGCGTGTATATATGCGTCTGTATATTCCCCCTCCATACATACACTGTCTCACTACAAGGAATTAGTAAACACATTTGTACACAGACACACACACACACACACACACACACACACACACACACACACACACACACACCGTCCACACAAGGAATCAGTACATACAAACACATACATACACACATATATACACACACATACTTCTCAAGTTACATGGAACCAGTATACACATACACACACACACATACACACATATATACATACATACATACATACATACACACGTAAAAAATCATGTAAAATTATTTTGTCATGTATGTGAGAAAGAGCTAGGTCATCTGTTAGGAAAGTTGGTTCCCTGTGTTGTGCAAGGCGGTTCTTTATGTCAGAACCCATCTTGCACATTTATAAATCTATCATCCATCCATGCACTGAATGTTACTGCCATATCTGGTTTGAGGCTCCTGCTATATATCTTAAGATTCTTGATAAAATCCATAGAAACATCTCTTATGTTATCGGTCCTTACCTGGCATCTCAGATTCAGTCACCTTCCAACCATTGTGATGTGGCTTGCCTCTTTCTTTTCTATAAATATTTTCATAGCAATTGCTCTACTGACCCCTGTTCTTTGATACCTCGACTGTATGAATTTAATGGGACTACTAGATTGGCAACCAATATTTTCTCACACTTATTACCTGTGGAACTTTCTTCCAGTTTCTTACTTTGGTTTCTTAAAAAATTTAAATGCAATATCAGTTTTCATTTGCTCTCTTTTGGAAAATTGGTCTTTTATTGTCCTTTCTCCTCAAAAGAGTCTTCTAATTCTCTTTCAATCGCAGTTACCTCTTGTATCAGAGTGGCATTACTGCCTTTCTTGCAGTGAAATGATTAAAACAAATTCTATATATATATATATATATATATATATATATATATATATATATATGAATCATGTGAAAAAAATTTTATCATGTATCTGAGAAAGAGTTACGTGTATGGGTTAAGTACGAAGAGAGTTGTCATGGAAACAGATGCTTGGCAACTATATTTCCCCTACTTGAGGTCATGATCTTATATTAGTTGATAAAATGTAGAAATATTTTGAAAGTTTAGCGAAGTTGTCTAATAACAAGAGAACTGAATGCAACTTCTTATTCCACCTGCGCACGTAATTTATAATGCATCTAGGAACATGAATGTAGATACAGAAGGCTTTCCACAGATACATAGAATTCAGAACACTTACAGGTAAAAATGTGCTGAGATTTTAACTTATATGTGTTGTTTCACTTCCGCATCATCAGACATTGTCTATTTGGAACTCTCATGAAATAAAATAAGTTTACATATACATATATATATATATATATATATATATATATATATATATATATATATATGGTGTGTGTGTGTGTGTGTGTTTCAATATATAGAAAATAGGAAAAGAACTCATTAGGTAAATAATCCAAAGTCCTTTAGTATTTTTTGTTATTATTTTTTTAAAAAATAGTGCTCGATACAAAAGTAGAGCATAAATATAATTATTTATTTAAAAATATGATTCAACATGCTACATAAAAAGTTCTCATGTTTCAAAACAAAAGCCAAAAACTTCAATATAATTATTTGAATTAAATTGAATTAAAATTGAATTAAATTAAATTTAATTCAAATAATTATATTGAAGTTTTTGGCTTTTGTTTTGAAACATGAGAACTCTTATGTAGTGTGTAGGGATCATATTTTTAAATAAATAATTATATATATATATATATATATATATATATATA